ACTTCTTTGGAAGCAAGAAAGGAAGGAGAGGCCAATCCAAGCATATTTTTTGAAACATTAAAACCTGGATTCCCAGTCTTTTAGTGATAGGTGCAAACCTGCTCTCCATTCAAAGCTGGAAAGCCATGTCTGCAAGGAAACCTGCTGAGTGCGTAGGTACATCAGTATCTTCTTCTTCTTCCTCCTCTTCTTTTTTTTTTTTTCAGAGGGAGTCTCACTCTGTCACCCAGGCTGGAGTGTGGGCAGTGGTGCGATCTCAGCTCACTGCAACCTCCGCCTCCCAGGTTCAAGGGATTCTCGTGCCTCAGCCTCCCTAGTAGCTGAGATTACAGGCACACACTATCATGCCCGGCTAATTTTTGTATTTTTAATAGAGATGGTGTTTCGCCATACTGGCCAGGCTGGTCCCGAATTCCTGACCTCAGGTGATTGACCCACCTCGGCCTCCTGAAATGCTGGAATTACAGGCGTGAGCCACTATGCCTGGCCTGCATCTTCTTTTCTAGAGGGCTCTACCCACTTCTTCCTAATGGTAAGTACGTTAAGCAAACTTGGCAGCTTTCAGTCAAGAATTCTTTCCCATCAGAAATATTCACCAGAAACAGAGCGTCTGAGAGCAACTGCATCTATGATTTCAGTGGCAAAACTGCTTTGGACCCTATTTCAAGAGATGGTCTTTATCTATCCTCCTCAAACCATACTGCATGAACTTCATTTTAGATACACTTTTACTTTTGAAATAGCTCATATCCCGCAAGCTCTTTTCTCAATTCTTGACATTTAAATTATATCCCGTTTTAAAATTTTGAGCCCAAGATGTAATAGAATTGATCACTTCTGCTACCTAGTTAACATGTTTGGGTGGGGAGGGGAACTTAACCGCCCACAGTGCTCTCTCTGGGAAAGACGTCATCACACTCCCTGCTGAAGAGATAGGGCAAGTTCCTTCCACATGATCCTTCTGCCTAGTACAATGGACTAGACTAGAGGTGAAAAACCTGCCCCAAGGCCAGTCAATTCAGCAGCTGGCTAGAATCCCTCAGGCCAACTCTCACTGTGTCTTGAATTTAAACTAAACGACACAGACAGAGAGAATCAGTCAAACATGTCACTATGTTTTAATATTTTCCCTCATTCCCCAAGAAGATTTTGTGGAGCTTTCATTTTCAGAATTTGCATAATGAAATAATGGCTATATTTTAACTTTTCCAAATATAAAGTTATATTAAAATATGAAAGATGGATGTTCATACTGCTCATCCCCCTCCTCTCCATAATTAAAGATTGAGATATGCACACTCCATCTGGAGTAGACACGCTAGCTCAGTTGAGAATCAGGGCTGCAGTTGGCAAATGAGAGTATTGGGCCTCTAAGATGAAACACACTGCGGGTCACCATGTGGGACCATGTGTAGGCAATAGAAGCCAGTCTGGTGAAAGAGTGGGCAGACAGTTACAGATAACTAGAGCTGAAATAAAGCATGCAAACCCTGAGACATATTGTGAAGCTATGTTGTGACCCTTGGGAGACCCAGAACCAATTCTATTTCTAACATCTATCTAGCTATAGTTAACAGAACTAACTCTAGTTTAATTCATGTGTTTGGAAGCTTGCTATACCATAAGTTACCCTTTTCACTTGGTGAAAAGGCTTTCTCTTTTAACAGAGCTAAACATTTCTATTCCTTGAAGAAACATTTTGAAGCCAATTAGACTAAATTTAAAGTACCAATAACAGGTGATTTGGCCCTCAAATTATTACAGTCACAGAACTAAAATCCACTGTCCTTTCAGCAGAGCAATTTTTTACTTTTGTTGTTAAATATATATACATTCTATCTAATCATACTGTAGACTTAATGTATTAAAGTAATATGAAATGTTTAATGAACTATAGCTTTGTTGTATGGTGTTTATGTTTTCTTCTTTTTGACGTCCTCCAAACATGTAAGGCAGATAATGTAGTAATAGATGTTTATAAACTTAAATTGTGCAGTCATTATATGTATGATTATAGCATTCCTGAGCAGAGAAAAAAAGATTATGATGCATGTTTTTAACAAAAGATAGAGGCAAATGATGATTTGATCAATTTGCCATGCTCACACTAAAACTGTGCAACAATAATGAAAACTACTCATTACAATTGTGAAACATACTCCAGAAAGAAAGCTAGAGAAATGTTTAGAGATCTCTCAGAAAATCAAATACATAGTGAAAAGGCCAACATTTAATGGCTATCCTTATGATAAATCTAATAATGTCTCCAACAGTCAACAAAACAATCTTTATTTTGGACCAGGGCAAACTTGGTCCAAAGATGTTGTCTTATCTACTTTGTAATGTGGTATCTGTAATAGCTGCTTGCAAACTATTCTCCTTACAGACAGGTAAACAGTATCAAGTGCCAGGAGGCCAAAGCAATGTCACTGCAGATATTTCACTGGGCTTCTAACCTGGAGAGAAAAGGCATCCTGCCAGTGGTCAAGACTTAGATCAAACAGGCCATAACTTACCCTGCCCCTTAACTTGTGACCTTTTCCCTTTTCTCTGGGCTATTTTCTAAAGATGATATGCTTTGTACATAATCCTGACTAGAAAAAGGCAGCATTTGTTTTTTTTTTTTTTGGAGGTGGGGGGTATATCTGTCTTACCTTCATTCAAACAGTTCCCCTCACCCCTACTATACACACACACACTGGTTTTCGATTTCATGTTCTCTTCTAAATGTTTCAACATCCATATCATATTGTAATAATTCTACTTTATGATCTATTCATATCAAAGTGAATCAGCATTTTCTGAATAAATATCTATTTGTGGTAAAGGACATATTTTGGATATTGGACTATCTGAGGGCTACTTCCTCAGAGAACTTGGGCTAAACCAAGATGCAGTGTCATGTGCCCACATTCAAATGTTGGCTCTCTCATTTATTTGATACGTGACCTTGGACAAGTTATAAACTATCACTGCCTCAGTTTCCATTATCTATAAAATGGGTATCATAATGATGCCTGCCTCATGGGATTATTGTGAAGATTAAATAATACCGTAGATAATGTAGAACAATGTTTGGCAAATAGTAGGAATTCATGGAACGTTCAGCTATTATTGTGCTACTAGAACTTGGTTGAAAGTCCTCTACAAACTGAAACAAGGAAAAAGAGATACAAATGTAACACTTTTAATTTGGTTTCCCTTCTCTTAACTCTCATTCTAATAATATTTGACTTTCGGATGAGCTAAGCAAATAACTCCTGACTACTGAGAAGCAAAATGATTAAGTTTCTTCTTATGTCAATGACATGTTTCTATTGCTATGCAGTAGAAGTAACCTTACTAGACACAACTAGGTCTGCTAGCTACTCATTAGTAGAAAAACTAGCTTAAGATCAACTATACTAAAACCAAAATTATCAGCTTTAATGATATTCTTTGACATGTAACTGGCTTTGATTCAAAACATTTTATATGGAGTCAAATCATTCAATTACCCAAAAGCATGGTCTTTAATCAGCTAAGCATAGAGGCCTCACAAATACTTACATTAATAAAAATTTGACATGGGCATATGTATCATTAATTTATTTTTCTTTGGAAGTAGCTAGTAACAATGCCTATTTTGAGTTTTTACTATCTACAATGTATTATAATAACTTAGTATGGCACATAACTATCCTTTCAGTTTCTATCCCTTCATGAAAATGTTGGATCTTCCTCTAAATCTTCCTTTGAAGTGGAGTGAGCATCCACTTTGGCTGTTTTCAGATTAGGCTCATTGGTTTACCTCCTCTATGCCCCACCCCAGCTATTTGTAAAATCATAAGCATCTCCCCCCAATTGTCACCATAGAATATTCTCGTCAGAGATTACAACGACCTTGCATTTTGTGCAAGTACATTTCAAAGAAATAATATTAATCTAAAAGTTCTAAGTATTATTCTTAGGTCTAGCTGGATTATCAGAATTATGTTCCAGAATTGCTTTTTCACTCTAATGCCAGCAGACTGCACTAAGAAAGGGAGGTTTTGAATTATGGTCTTTGGAAGCAGTAACACTATTTTTGTATTGGTGAGAATCTTGTTTATTATATCCATTATATCCATGAAAAGGGCACAGAAAGACAAACAAATACACTTCTAGTTGTGGTGTAATTATGTCCTCTGTATCTCCTGTGAGGTCATCAACTTTTTGTGGCCAAGTTAACAATTTAAGGTCAGTCAAAACTGAGGATTTTTGGCTCCAAGTAAGGGCTCTAAATAAAAATCCTTCCTTGTTAATGCCATTTTTTTCTGTCAATCCCAATCTAATTTATCTAAAACATTTCATAAAACCCAACTGCCTTACAAGTACTATCTAATGGGTTTCACTGTTTGGTTTCTTTGACTTATCACAAGTGCTGATAGCTTCTTGTGTACATTAACTAATAGGCCTCTTTCAAAGTATGCTGACATTCAGCTTAGTGTTAAATGGTTTTTAATGAACTCTGTACCATCCCCCTCTATCCTGAATTTCTGCAAATGAAACCCATTTTTAAAAAAATAATCTGGAGAACTAATGGTACTTTGCATTCCAATGAATATGAACCAAGTCTGGACCCTAACTGGATAACTTCAAACCAAATTACTATCATGAAGACAAAACATTCTCATGGTTGTTATTTATTAATTTATTTTTTACTTACTAGCCAGATATTTGGCAACCCATAGATATAGATAGCCCTCATGTCAAAGTATTTATTCCAAATGATGTGAAAAGTTTAAGAGCTATTGGAAAAATTAGAAATCTCATTTACTTGGAGTGCCGTGTAAATTTTACTAAGGATTTAGGGAATCACAGTTGCATTTTATCAGCTTAAAGTTTCTCAATGAATGCTTCAGTTCTCTCATTCACATTTTTGCTGCACCTCAGAGAAAATGTCTCTGAAGCTAAACCAAGTGAAGTAAGAGGATAGCAATTATTTGGTCAAGATGGTGCATATGAAGTTTATACTATACCTTAGGCAATCGTAACAGGTAAGTGATTCCTGTTTTGTTATGTCTTAGGTGTTGTGCATATGCATGCTTTTCTTGCTTTTTTCCTTGAAAATTTGGATGGGTGAATACTGAGTTTCTTTTCTAGCTCTTCATAGTCAACCCAAAGCACTTGATACCTGCTAGTCTTCTGCTCCTCTTGGTCACTGGCTTTCTCAGGCAGCACAGAGCTGCAGCACCCAGGCAGGTGGGAACAAGACCATCAGGAACAAAGATTTGTATCTCCTCTCTCAGTTCCATGGTAACGCCTTCCTTTTTGCTGCTTTTCCTTGATTTCAAAAACATTTTCCAGTTCACGGCATGCCTGCTTCCAGGAGGGGGAAAAAGTGGATAAAAATAATGCACTATATACAGTATCTTTAGAGAAAATCACATAAATATTTTATACACTGTACAGTAAATAATGTATATGTAGAAAGGCAATGTTAATATTTTATGGACTGCAGAGTAACTGTTCAGGTCGAAATGAAATCACTGTGTTTGAAGAAATATAGTGTGCTCTAAGTTGTACCAAACAATTTTACTATAGCTTAGTACAATACAGTTCATAAATCACCACATTCTCTGCATTACCTGGGAGTTCAAGAATCCCAGCTCCCAGTGGGCTCCTCCCTTCATTCCCTACTGCTTTCAAAGACCCCCACTCTCACCTCCCTACTCGAGACCCTCCTTTGAACTATGGCAGTGATCAATACATGTTCTTGAGAAATTGAACCAGATTGTGAATGAATTCACCCAGATCACCTACTTTTCATGGGGAGGGTGGTAAGAAAACTGATCAGGAATGGACAAAGAAAACACCTAATGAATTCCATATGTAACCTGAGTTTCTGCATATTTTTTCAGGTGCTAAGGACATATCATTTTGGTTTCCTGAAATCCACTCCTTGTGAGTCTTTTTTTTTTTTTTTTTTTTTTTTTTGAGACAGTCTCACTCTGTCACCCAGGATGGAGTGCAGTGGTGCGATCTCACCTCACTGCAACATCTGCCTCCCCGGTTCAAGCAATTCTCCTGCCTCAGCCTCCCGAGTAGCTGGGACTATAGGTGCACGCCACCACACCAGGCTTATTTTTTGTGTTTTAGTAGAGACGGTGTTTCACCATGTTGCCCAGGCTGGTCTTGAACTCCTGAGCTCAGGCAATCCACCTGCCTTCGCCTCCCAAAGTGCTGGGATTACAGGCATGAGCCACTATGCCTGACCTCCTTGTGAGTCTTGATTGACTAGTTCAGGGTTCAGATATGCATTGGTGCCACTGAAATGCTTAAATATTGTAACATTCACCCGTTTTTGTGTGAAAAAGACACAGGTGTGTTATGAAAAGCAGATAATACAAATATCAAAATAGTCAGAGGAAGGTCAAGCAGATCTTTTTCTAGTTAATTGAAACAATTAAAGTCAGAAAAAAAATATGATAATCTAAGTACAATTAAATGTTTCTGCCATTATAATGTCTTTGAGAGAGAAAAACTCTAAACCTCTAACAGAATCAAAAACAAATAGATCAGCAAAAAAGACACCAATAGATTTAAATATTGTATTTAGAGCCCTTGGGTTATTAGTCAGTTTAATAAATAAGAAACAAAGGAGACCTAAAATGACAGAACACAGAAATAACCCAGGAGACGAAGGGAAAGCAGATAACTTAGAAGCCACAGCAGATTAAAGCTGTTAAATGATATTAAAAGACTCACAATGTAATGCCATAATGGGGAGGGGCTAAAAGCAAGGACAGTTAAATGTTCATAAAGACAGTAATTTGAGTGTAAGATCACCTGGGAGCTTGTTTAAAATGTAAATTCCACTGGGGCGGTGGCTCACACCTGTAATTCCAGCACTTTGGGAGGCCGAGGCAGGTGGATCACCTAAGGTTGGGAGTTCGAGACCAGCCTGACCAACAGGGAGAAACCCCGTCTCTAAATTAGCCAGGCGTGGTGGCATATGCCTTAATCCCAGCTACTCGGTAGGCAGAGGCAGGAGAATTGCTTGAACCCGGGAGGCAGAGGTTGTAGTGAGCCGAGATCATGCCATTGCACTCCAGCCTGAGCAACAAGAGCAAAACTCCGTCTCAAAAAAAAAAAAAAATAGTAAATTCCTGTGCTGCACTCCTGGGATTCTAATTCATGAAGTGTTTGATTTTAATGCAAATAGAATGTGAGCCAGACTTTGAGAAGCTTTTGATTATCCTAGCAAAATGTGAGGGCAAAGAAGAATAGATAGAGAGGGAGGAAGTTCTGTAAGCACAGAGAGGGGCCGGCTAAGCATTACACCCCACGCTGTATGTCAACTATTGCAAATATGCGGCACTGAAAATGACCATCACTGTATGTAATGAACATGGTGCATCTTTTAAAAAAAGGTTAAATTGAATTCAATATTAGCAAGCAAAAAAGGGCAAGGTGGGAGGTGTTACATTCAAAATGGATACTCCTCTGAGACAGGCTCCAGGGTACAACAAAACTCATCTTTCTTCCTTTCTTTTTTTGTAGAGATAGGGTTTTGCTATGTTGCCCAGGCTGGTCTCAAACTCCTAGGCTAAACCAATCAGCTCGCCTTTACCTCCCAAAGTGAGCCACAATGCCTGGTTCATCTTTCTTTAGAAACAAGTTGTTTGGGTTTTTCTCCTTTTTTTAATTTTTTTTTTATTTTTGGAGACAGTCTCACTTTATTGCCCAGGCTGGAGTACTGTGGCAGAATCATAGCTCACTGCAGCCTTGAACTCCTGAGCTTAAGTGGTCCTCCTGCCTCAGCCTCCCAAGTAGTAGGACTACATGGACCTCTACACCCAGCTAATTTTTTCTTTTAGTTTTGTAGAGATGGGATCTTGCTGCACTGCCCAGTTTGGTCTCAAACTCCTGGCCTCAAGCAATCCTCCTTCCTCCTAGGCCTTATTTTTTTTAATAGTTTTTGCTTTACCAACTGATATGGTTTGGCTGTGTCCTCACCCAAATCTCATCTTGAATTGTAGCTCCCATAACCCCCATGTGTCATGTGATGGACTCGCTGGGAGATAATTGAATCATGGGGGCACTTTCCTTCATACTATTCTTGTGGTAGTGAGTAAGTCTCGCAAGACCTAATGGTTTGATAAGGGGTTTCCCCTTTCGCTTGATTCTCATTCTCTCTCTTTGCCTGCCACCACATAAGACATGTCTCTCGCCTTCCGCCATGATCATGAGACCTCCCCAGCCACGAGAAAATGTGAGTCCATTAAACCTCTTTTTCTTTATAAATTATACAGTCTCAGTTGTTTTTTTTTTTTTTTTTTTTGAGACGGAATCTCGCTCTGTAGCCCGGGCTGGAGTGCAGTGGCCGGATCTCAGCTCACTGCAAGCTCCGCCTCCCGGGTTTACGCCATTCTCCTGCCTCAGCCTCCCGAGTAGCTGGGACTACAGGCGCCCGCCACCTCGCCCGGCTAGTTTTTTGTATTTTTTAGTAGAGACGGGGTTTCACGGTGTTCACCAGGATGGTCTCGATCTCCTGACCTCGTGATCCGCCCGTCTCGGCCTCCCAAAGTGCTGGGATTACAGGCTTGAGCCACCGCGCCCGGCCTCAGTTATGTTTTTATTAGCAGCATGAAAACAGACTAATTCGCCAACCAATAATGGATGGCTCCATTGTTCATTAAACTTCTTTTTCAACTCTGAATACAAAAGGACTTTGGAAACAAAGAAAAGACAATTTGTTTTCTTTAGTGGTGTAGACACATTGCAGCTAAATATATTGACAACATGAGTAATGAAAAACAAAACCACAGAAGAAAAAGTATGTCAATTAGGGTGCTCTGGTTATCGATTGCTGTGTAACAAATTATCCCCAAATTAGTGACTTAAAACCACAATCATCTGATTGCATCTCACATTTGTGTGGATCAGAAATGTGGCTTGGCTTGGGCTCAGCTAAATGATTCTTTTGCTCCACATGGTATCAATGGAGGCTACTTGGAGGTATCAGCTTGGAGGTGGGCTGGTCTAGTGAGTCCAAAATGACTTCATTCTCATATCTGGCTTCTTGGAAGAAGGGGCTAGGAGCCTGAGTTTAACTAGTCTTGTCATCTGGAGCATCTAAATGTAGCCTTGGGTCTCCCAGAAATAGAAAATCAAAGCTGCTTGTTTCTTAAGGTCTGAGACTAGCACCTGGTACAATGTCATTTCTTATTCTATCGGTAAAAGCAGTCATAATGCCTGCCCAGAATCAAGTGGAGACATAGACCCCACTTCTTAAGGAGAAGACTGTCAATGAATTTGCACCCTGAGGTCTTAAGTCTATCACACAGTGTTGCAGAAATGCATGTAAATATTTCTTTCCTTGCTAACACATCAAAGGTGGCTGAACACGTAATCATTACTTTTCCATCCTTATTCCCCATGCCACAAAGAGGAAAAAGCCTTCAAAGAAAAGTTAAATTTACAAAATCAGGATGCATTTGTTTACTTTCTTTCCTTACTTACATTGTATAAAATACTCTAAAGCAAAGATTCTAAATTTTGTTTGTTATAGTGACCAACTAGCGCTGTGTAACAAATTACCAATAATTTATTTTGAAATGTATTACCAGTAATGTGTTGCTATTAGTAACTAAAAAAGATTTTTTAAACAATTCACTTAATTTTATAATAGAGTTGGGTTCACTGTCACTGTCACTCACATGTTGAGTTACTTGTAGTTTCCTAGAAATCTCCCCGCAACATGGAGTAAGCCTATGGGAATGTTCCAAGCCAGTGTTAATCACCAGGCAAGAATGGTAGTCAAGAAAAAAATTCCTTGAAGGTGGAACTTTTCAGCTGAGAGCTAAAAGATGAGTAAGAGTTAACTGTACTAAGAGTTTAGAGTGTTTCAGGCAGCGGGAATATGTGTAAAGAGTGAAACAAGTTTGCCTTAATCAAATGGCATGAGAGACGATCAAGACCCAGGAGAGCGAAATCAAGTCAGGCAGTGACCTGGAGTCACTTAGAATCATTAGGGCAGAGGCCAAATATGCAAAAAAGAAAAAGAAGAAAGAAAACAAACAAACAAAAAAACAAGAAATCAAGCTTAGTAGTTCTTCACAACAATCTTCTCCAACTCAGTCTTAGTTTTGCAAATAGTTTACAGAGTTGGTAGGCTTAGTCTAATCTTTCATGTCTCCTATGTACCTTTTACAGATACACATGACCATTGCAAAACAGCTAATAAGCAGAGAATGAATTTAGAAAAGACAAGATCAAGAGTCCTGTCAACAAAATAATAAGCTGGTTTATAGTTACTTTTAATATTTCTAATGAATTTCATCACAAAATTAAAAAAAAAATTCTGGAATATCTCATTTGATTAAATTGTTCCTTACTTTACAGAAGATGAAACTGAGGAGCAAAGAAGTTAAATGGCTGCTGGTGCCCCATGGCCAGTTAGGAGCAGAGGGTGGGAGAGGCTCATCATTGAGTAATATATCTAGACCATCACAACCCATCATACATCACTAGATGAAGGGATGAGATCCTGATCTTTCATTTATAGACCAATAAGCAATGGAATCACCTTCTATTAGAAATCATCACAGATTGGGTTCCCCAGGAATCAGCTTCTGAGACAGAGGTGAGCATTTATCAGAGAGCGTTTGTAGGATTGACTCCTGCATGGGGAAAGGGAGAGAAGCAGACTGGCGGAGAGGAGTGGGCTGAGCTGCAGTCACAAGGCCTCTGCCAACCCTGCAGGGAACTTGAAGGCTGGGATGGCCCTTCCGGATTGGCCACAGAGCAGGCCTTTATAGCCCTGCATCAACCTATCATTGTGTTTGGGCTGCCCCAGGAAACGAGCAAGTGGCTGTCTTCAGAAGAGACAGTTCTGAGTGCTGGCAACGAAACCTTCCCAGCAGCTGGGGCTTAAATTCTTCACACATGTCTAGGCAGATCTGGACAGAACAGCACAAAGTCTGCAGCAGAAGTACCACCACTTCTCACCACCTCCACCACAATCACCTCTGCCTGGCCAACATCCGGTCTTTCCTGGACGATTGCAATAGCAGCCCCCTGGACAGTCTCCTACCTTCAGGCTTTGCCACGGACAGTTTGCCTCAAAACACAAATGAGACTGTATCACTCCGTCACTGAAAAACCTCCAGTGAATTTGCATCTCACACACAGCAAAACCCAAATCTTTTACCACAGTCTATAAAATCCTATTTGACTTGGCCTCCTCATTCTTATTTTATTCTCATTTAAAAATACAAGGTACATATTTTAAGTGTACGGTTTGATGGGTTTTGACAAATGCGCATACCCATGTAACCACCCCGATTGAGATATCAAAAAAATTCCCTTCACTACAAAAAGCTCTCTTGTATATTTTTGCAGTTGCCTGTCCTTCCATCAACCCTCAATTTTGCAGAGGTAACCACTGAATTCTTATTTTAAAGGTCTTGCCTCGGCTTAAAACAACAATAAGTAGAGTTGGGTAAGGATGTCTCATTTTTCTAGGAACAAAATAAATAATTATCTGTCTCATTGAATCAGCTAGAAAGAGGCAGAGAGGACAAGGCAGTAATATTCAGAATCACTTCCTTCCAAAAAGAATGCATGTTAAACTTCTGTCACCCCCAAAGCCAGTATTTTACCTAAGGTGGTGTTACAGTCATAATTAGCATTTTGCAATGGTTACCAAAAACTCCACTCTCTTTTCCTGTGCTGAGCATATATGCTTACACTTGTGCACAATAAGCATCTCCTGCTTTGAGTTTGCTTTGCTCTTAGGAATGAAAATGTAAAACAATCAAATGTATTCTTTTAATGGCAGTCACAATGCTACAAGTAAACAAAATGGATGCCACCTCCCTTAATTTAAACAATAAGAATCACTTTAGAATGCATGACACTCATGCCAGTGCAAAAACTTGTGGCTTTAAGTAGGTGCAGATGTTTAATGGGGTTTGCTGTAGTTCTTACTGGTAATCTCTCAGCATATACCAAAATGCATTATTTCATAAGATTGATTTTGGCAAAGAAATTTCCCTTTAGCTTTTGGTGTTTCTACGAGGTGAGTTACAACTTAAAACTAAGTGAGAAATTTCAAATACTTCAACCTTATTCATCTGGATGTTTCTCCACTATAGCCAATTGTGCTAAAATAGCTTTGATTGCAACCAACAGTGTGCATTTGTCAACCTTGATGGCATTCACCAAAGATCTCCAAGGTAGCTTGGATAATTTGGGGAGAAGAACAACAAAGGGGAGGACGACAGAACTGTTGGTGGTGGTTCTGGGTGCTGGAGCACCATGTTAGATGAGTCACTGAGGTTGGACTGAGATAGAATAGGGGAGGGGTTTGAGTCCTGGACTGTTTATGAATTGGAAAGCAGTAGTTGATTCTTCCCGGCAGGCAGCATCTGAAGTCATTCCTTTCAGATCTGCTGAGAGGACTGTTCCATTTTGATGCCCCCTTTCATGGAGAATTCTGGAAAGTTAAGTAATGTCCTATTATTTATAGGCAAAGTTGTAACAATTCCTCAGAGGAGGTAAACCATGTATAACTATGTAAAGGCAAACTTATATAAACAATGAAATTCATTATGTTTGAATATTCAAACAGTTCCCCACCAATACACAGTTCAAACTAGCCCCTGATAACAACATGATTGGGAAAGGTGGCATGTTTGCAACTCTCAGGCTTACTAATGCACTCCTTAAGCCATCACTCAGGAAAGAAGTATATACTCAATTTCTTCTTAGGAGCATACTACGACTCAGAATATTTCTCAGTATTGTCCAAGGGCATGGTCCTGAGAACAAAGACTAAACTAATCAAGATGCTTATATTTAAATACAGTTATTACGCAAGTTGACTCCATGACCATTACTGTAGTTCCCTAGAAGTGAGACTGTCAAATTTATATTTAACTATAGAATGTTCACTTAGGGTTTGGGTACGAGTGTCAGGAGAGCAAACTGAAATAAAAACCCTACAGATTTAAAATGGTTTTGTTAAATTTTTGTCTAGTTTTATTTCATAAAGATCAGATCATAAAATAGTACTTACATTTTCAGCATTAGGAAGTTTCACAATTTCCACATTAAAAAGTACACAAGGAAAATATAGGATATTATGTAGCTATATACGTCCTGCAATATAGTGTATCATTTAGCCTTTGCTGCAGAGCCACCCCAAAACGTAGCCACTTTGTTAGTTGACAATACTGCTGGGTGGGTCTTTCTCTGGTTCAGGCCAGGCTTCTGATCTCATCTGGGTTCACTTGCATGTCTGCAGTCATTTGGCAGGTCATCTGGTGCTGGCTGGTGTCAGATGACCTCATTCACAGGTCTAGAGGCTGCATGCAATATTCAGCTGGGGCAAAGGGAGTATCTTGGTTATCTGATTCTGATCTTCCAATAACTAGCCCAGGCCTATTCATATGGTGGCACTGGCAAATGTTCCAAGACCCAGCATGCAAATAGACTTTAAGTCTCATTTTCAAGTTCCATTGGCCAAAAAAATATGGTTAAACCCAGAGTGAGTGTTAAGTGGAGACCCCAAAAGGTCATGGATACAGAAAGAAGTAAAAAATTGAGAACTATTATTTTACTAATCTATCACATATAAAAAGGTAAATTCAATTTTAATAAAATATGGAGAAACATGGAATTGAAAGATTGAACCATTAGTTTGAAGAGTTTATGATTTAAATGATAGACTTGTCTCCTAAGAGTACAGCTTCTTTGAACAATGCCATGATTTTTTCTCGTATTTTCTGTTTTGTTCGGGGTTCCATCCTTCACTATTCTAAGATGTTTCCTTCCATGTGAGAAGACCTTGACGAGGATGATCCAGTGAGCAATCCCTTACTCACTGCTCCTCAGTAGAAAAGGAATGAAAAGTTCAAAAAAGAATATATAGGGTAGTACTTATCTTACCCATGGAGGTGAATCTGACTGAAGACAACACATGTTCTTGGTCATAAATAAAAGTGAAAACCGGCCTGCATGACTGAGTAGGTAAGTTTGTTTAATTCTGCAATTTAATGTTATGAAGGTCTGTCAATCGACAGAATCATCCTCCAATATCAGCTTTATAGATAATTAAGGTGATATTTTTATCTTCCATCTGCCTTAATCTTTTGTCTTGTTTCTCATTTGGGTCACAGCTTGGACCCTTTCAAATTTTAAGACTGGTTGTGGGACATATAAAATTAATCCTGCCTGGCTCAGAAAAGTCAGTAATATTTGGAACACAACTTGAAAACACACTTACTACCTTCCAGATTCTTGAATGCAGTGTCTCATACGTCTACTGCCTTAGAATCATCCAAAGCATTTGTTTAAAATTCAGATTTCTGGGCCCCACCAACAACCTACTGAATTTCTAATTTCTAGAAAACTGAACATCTTTAACAAGTCCCAAGGAGGTTATTTATTTTAACTTGCTTCTTAATTATATAACAAATAAAAATACATTATTTTCAAAGTATCACTGCCTTCTTCTTCGGATATCCACATATTGCATTTTCTATCTAGTCTGCTATCCAAAGTAAAGGCTATTTTTACTTCAACATGTATCCTTGCAGATATTTTTCTTAGATTTGCATACAGTATGTGTACTTCAGAGATTATTTTACATGAGTTTCTATGAGTTACCTCGATGACGATGTGGCTTTCTATAAATGAATTATTATCACTCAACAATATATTTCATGGGTCTTTCCATTACATATTACATTATATCTATCATTATATATTACACATTACATAAACATTATATGTATATATACATTATGCAATATACATACTATACATTATGCATAAGTCTAGCTTCTTAATGAAACATAGTATTCCAGATTATGCATGAACATTTTTAATCATCCCCTACTGATTGACACATTATTTTCAATTGTTTGTTATTTTAAACAACATTGCAATGAATACTCACATGTAGGACTGATTATGCACATATGTATTACCCTGTTCTCACACTGCTATGAAGAAATCCCCAAGACTGGGTAATTTATAAAAGAAAGAGGTTTAATTGACTCACAGTTCCACATTGCTGGGGGGGCCTCAGGAAACTTACAATCATGGTGGAAGGCAAAGGAGAAGCAGGTACCGGGCAGCAGGATGAAGTGAGTACAAGCAGGGGAAACACCAGATGCCTATAAAACCATCAGATCTCATGAGAACTCACTCACTATCAGAAGAACAGCATGGGGGAAACCACCCCCATGATCCAATTACCTCCAACTGGTCCCACCCTTGACACCTGGGCAAATGAGGATTTCAATTCGAGGTGAGATTTGGGTGGGGACACAGAGCCAAACCATATTAACACATAAAGCATTTCTCTAGGCTAATAAGTAGTGGAATTGCTGGGCTGCTGGGGTGTTGTATGTTTTAAATGTTTGCTGTTGGTGGTTGTGGTGGTGGGTTTTTGTTTTGTTTTGTTTTGTTGTTTTGTTTTTGTTTGGTTTGGTTTGTTTTTTTGAGATAGGGTCTCACTCTGTCACCTATGCTTGAGTGCAGTGGCACCATCTTGGCTCACTGCAACCTCCACCTCCAAGGCTTAAGGGATCCTCCCACTTCAGCCTCCCAAGTAGCTGGGACTACAGGCACTTGCTACCATGCCTGGCTAATTTTTGTATTTTCTGTAGAGATGGGGTTTCACTATGTTGCCCAGGCTGGTCTAGAACTCCTGGGCTCAAGTGATCCATCCACCTTGGCCTCCCAAAGTACTGGGACTATAGGTGTGAGCCACTGCCTTAAATGTAAATGCATACTGCCAAATTGCTTTGTGAAGTAAGTGTACTAGTTTATACTTCCTAGTAATTTATTAAAATACTCGCTTCCCCAATTTACATTATCAAACTTGAAAAATACTTCATTTTCATTTTAGTTTACATTTCTTTTATTTGTTATAAAGTTATCTTTTGATAAATTCATTGCAATTTATGTTTCCTCCTTTGCGAATTTTCCATTTATGACCTTCACCCATTTTTATTTTAGGCTATTTTTCTTTTGTTTCTACCCCTTTCCACCTTTTAAATACACATTTTTTAATGGAAAATAATTTTGGATTTACAAAAAAGTTGCAGTGGTAGTGCAGACAATTTCTATGTCCCCCTTAGTCAGTTTCCCCCACTGTTAGCATCTCACATCACTATGGTACATGTATCAAAACTAAGGAATCAACACTGGCACATTACTTTAAACTCCAGGAGTTAGGTGGAATTCACCAGTTTTTCACTAGCATAGGTTATTTATTCCAGGACCCCATCAGAATACCACATTGGATTTGGTCACCATGTCTCCTTAGTCTTCTCTGGTCCATGACAGCTTCTCGGTCTTTTCCCACTTTTTATGCCCTTGGCAGTTTGAGAAGTATATGTTAGGAATTTTGTGAATGTTCCTATTTTTTCTCATGATTGGATTGGTGTTATGTGTTTCACAGAGCTAACATGTCCCCCTTTTCACATCATATCAAGGGGGTCATGATATCAACATGACTTATGACTGTTCATGTTAAACTCAGTCACCTACCACTGTAAAGGTACTTTCTCCTTTTTCCATATTATTTTCTTTGGAAGCAAGTCACTCAAGGCGAGGGGAGGAAGGTGGGAGTGGGACTGGTAGTGGCCAAGCTCCACCTTCTAGGTGGGTACTATCTACTAAAGTATTTGAAATTCTTCTGCAAAAAGACTTGTTTCTTCTCTTCTATTTATTTGTTAAATCATTTCTCTATATCAATATGGGCTTGTGTATATTTATTTTGCAATTTAAGCTATAACCCTGTACCATGTTATTTATTTTATTACTCAAATTATTCCAGCTTTGGCCACTGTAAGCTCTTTCGGGTTAGTTTCTCTGTCCTTTAGACATACCATCATTGTTTTTGTTTGTTTGTTTGTTTGTTTTTTGAGCAATTTCCTTACTTTGAGATACTACCAGATGCCCTGGGCTCAATTTGTATTTTCCTCTTTTGCTTTTATGTTTGATGAAATTTTATATATTTAGCTATTTTTTTAATATAGTGTAGATATTTACAAGTGTTTTCTCAGTTTCTTGGCTTGTCATGTAGTTTTGATATTATCACAATTATGCATATTTTTCTTAAATTTTTTTGTTTCTTTTTACATTTTTATTCATTTGATCATAGAAACATGTTCATGTTTTCTTCTAATAAACATAATCTTGCTTTTACTTTTACATGTTCTAATCTATCTAGAATTTATTTTTGCAAATGCTATGATGTAAAGATACAGCTTTATCTTTTTCCCACATGGATAGACAATTACCTTTACACCATTACCCATTGTTTTAAAATGTCAGTGTTAAGACTTTCTTTTCTTCTCCATTAATCTATTTGTCTTGTCTATTCCCTTGTCAATACCACACAGTTTCAATTACTAGAGCTTGAAATGATGTTTTTATTTCTGTGTGAGCATGAGTTTTCTTTTTTACACTAGCTTCAAGAAACCCAGTAGTCTAATTATTATTGACATTTTGGACCAGATAATTTATAGTGGGGGCTGTCCTGTACATTCTAGGATGTTTAGCAGCATCCCTGTCCCCTAATCACTAGATGCCAGTATCTCCCACCCTCCCAACAAACAAAAATATCTCCAGTCATTGCCAAATGTTTTCTAGGGGGCAAACTTGCTCCTGGTTGAGAACCACTGGTTGAGAACCACTGACCCAATACAATGAACAAACTCTAGTGTATATGGAATGATAGACTCTTACAAATCTTACTGTATTTGATTTTCTGTTCTAGCATTAATTTGCTTAGGATAATGGCCTCCAGCTACACCTGTGTTGTGCCAAACAACATGATTTTGTTCTTTTTTATGACTGCATAGTATTCCACAGTGTGTATATACCACATTTGCTTTATCCAATCCACCATTGTTGGGCATCTGGGTTGATTTCATGTCTTTGCTCTTGTGAACAGTGCTGCAATGAACATATGAGTGCATGTGTCTTTTTGGCAGAATGATTTATTTTCTTTTGGATATATACCCATTAACAGAATTGCTAGGTAAAATGGTAGTCACTCATAACTGGGAGCTAGACATTGGATACTCATGGACATAAAGATAGCAACAATAGATACTGGACACTCCTAAACGGGGTTAGGGAGAGAGGGGAGCAAGGGTTGAAAAACTGTTAGGTACTATGCTCACTACCTGGGTGACAGGAGCAATCATACCGTGAACCTCAGCATCAAGCAATATACCCATGTAACAAACCTGCATGTGTAACCCCTGAATATAAAATAAAAGTTGAAATTACTTTAAAAAAATCTTGGTGAAGGAGGGGAGAATTTAATTTGTATTTTAGTTTGAACCTGACTTTTATGCTGTCATATCTTTTCTATATTCACCTAGGCTACCACTCCATACACAAAAAGATAAAATTACCAAAAAAAATCCTACTGTAATTTATGATGAGTGTAGACATTCTGGTACACGAAAGAATTGACCTCTCTGCCTCCCTGACTTGGGCTTAGATACATGTCTTATTTGGCCACAGAAATGGGAGCAAACATGATATGTGTTTGCATTTAGCATTAAAAGCCAGTGTTCATGTATCCTTGTTCTTCTTCCTCCCTTGCTGTAGAAACATTGGAAGCATGTGTTAAAATGCCCAAGTATCCTACAGTGATCTAGTTGAGCAGAGTCCCTACTAAGCCAAGTTGACAGTGTAGTAGAAACTACAAAATAAACTTAATATTTTAAGCCAATGAAATTTTTGAATTTTTGTTATCATGTATCATTTGGTCTATCTTAACTCATATATTTCAGTTTACACAATAAGAGAAATATAGTGCTGCCTCTGCACACTAGCTTAATTAGAAAATTATTTATTTCCTCTCTGTGTCTTCTGTTCCCTGATGCCTCGGTGCTAGGAGAAAATGTGAGCACAAAAGCTATCTAGGCAAATGAGGTTGGCAGAGCTTTTGTTTTTTTGTTAGTGCTTCCAGGTGCCAATTAAGGAACTGGGAACCAAAAGCTCTGGTGATGTTGAGACAGGGTTCCATTCGGATCTCGATGAGAGGCAAAAAACACACAGTTGCTGGTTTCACTTCTGTAAAGATGCTTTCTATAACAGAATATCCTTATAGAGATACTTTATACCCACAAAATTCCTGAAAACAACAAAGCAGTGGAAAAGGAAAACAGACTAAGGCCTTCACAATTTTAAAGGAAAAAAAACCCAGAAAGCTGCATTTCAATAAAATTCAGTGTAAACTTGGGCTTGCTTTTACCAGTATTTGTTTTAATCAGCACTTCTAAAATCATCTGGTGATTTAGTCACAAGATTGATCAAATCCGAGGTCTTGCTTAATTGCCATTATTCTCAAAGTCTAGGTAATAAATAATGTTCAACAAAACTGTCCCATGACCTTTTCGGGATATTTTTCGGTAGAGGTGTATAGCATTTCATCATGTTCTTGGCACAGCCCTTCCTCCTCTAGTCATCAAAGGCATGTGTCATGTTCTGTACTTTCTGCAAATCGTTCCCAATGCCAGTGAGACAAATTCTAAGGAATACTCTGTGGAGAGTTTGGATTCTTCAAAGAGTCTCCAGCTCTCCACACACCCTTTGGAGTCAACTCCCTGGGACGGAAACTATCTCTCTAATTTTCTAAATTGGTAGGTGTGCACCATTACTCACCAAGGAAATTTATTGCCTAAGAAAGAGAGAACAAATGGAATTGGCTCATGCCAGGTGTAACTCCAGCAGGTGTACAGCTTTCCTGCCTGGCTACATCAACCTAGCTCCCTTTAGTTCTTTGCCACCCATTTCCCAGAGATTCCTTATTTATGCCACAACCATTAGCAACACAGTTCCAGGGAGCCCTACTAGGCAATGTCATTCCCACTTTAAGTGCTTTCAGTAAACAAGTGAACTCAGTTCTACAGTGGGAGGGTTAATGGGTCAAGGAAAAGGCCAGCTGCTTGAATGTCAGCATTGGCACTTATCACCAACGTTGAATAGGTCCTTCATGTATCAAAATATTGACAGTGTTTATACCCAGGAGCAACACAATGTCTTTGAATTTGTTCCATGAACATGGGCAGCAAAAATGATTTTAATAATTGGAAAAAGTCTCTCCAGACTCACCCCACATAAGAGTGTCTAGCACATTAGTTGGTTCTCAATAACCTTGAAGTGAAAATGCTCAGAGTACACCAGCGCACCATCATCTTTAACTGCCAAAACAGACCAAATGGTTTTACAAAAGTATCTGCACTGAATACACGACCAAAGTTCTACTAACCTATGCTTTTCTGGAGGGTGTCAATACCATTGTTTAAAATAACCCTTCTGTTGCTCTTCCAGATGACAGCATGGAATGTCTTCAAAAGGAAGTATAGAAATGTGACTCTGCATACTT